TGTTTTCAAACAGATCCGATCGGTTGCTAGGACAGAAGAACGTAGCGTACGGGGAGGGGTTGTGTGCACGCTCACTCGCTCAAAGGCACGAGAACTCGCAACTAGAGCTGCACCGCTCGATCTTCCCCCGAGAATCACCGAGAAAGCCGGGGATGGAGAGCCCGCGAGCACGGTAGACACGATTACCACACCAAGCACTGATAAAGTGAGCGATGAAGGCGCGGATGAAAACGAGGAAGACCCTCTTGAATCTGGAAGTGTCTGTGAGGAAATGATTACTCCTGCGTCTAGTAGCCTGCAGACTTTGCTGGGAGTGGATCGATCGTCTCTGATAGCGCAGCAAAGAGCAGACCCCACTCTTCAAAATATAAGGAGTCAGAGTAAAGGAGGGTATTTCAAAGAAAAACGTGCCCGAAGAGCCACCACTAGATTTCCCCTTTTCGGGAGCGGAAAGAAAGGAGGATAACGCTGGTCAAACGCTCAAGGCCATGGTTGAGGTGGCTGAGCTCACAGCTAACGAGAAGCGTGACCTAGAAAGCCTCCTGATAGAATATGAGGACATGTTCTCGGAGAAACCGGGTTGAACAAATTTGGTAGTGCATGACATAGAGCTTACGGCCACTCAGCCCGTGCGGTCAAAGGCGTATCGAGTGTCACCGCGTCAGCGCGCCATTATTGAGGCCGAGATTAAAAGAATGCTCGAGCTTGATGTGGTTGAAGCTTGTAAAAGCGATTATACCTCTCCGCTTATATCAGTGGAGGTTCCTGGGAAAGATCCGCGACCATGCATTGATTATTGGAGGTTAAATCTCATAACAAAGGATCAGACCTACCTCATACCAAATATAGAGGAAAGAATTGAAGCAGTAAGCAGTGCTAAGTACATCTGTACCTTCGACCTCGTTCGGGGTTATTGGCAGATGCCCCTGACCGAAAGAGCGAGCAGATATGCGGCGTTTATTTCTCCTATAGGAACATACCACCCTAAGGTGTTGAGCTTCGGCTTAAAGAATGCCCCTTACTGTTTCTCAGCTCTCATGGACAAGGTATTGCGGGGTTTAGAGGGGTTTGCCCTGCCTTATCTGGATGATGTAGCAGTATTTTCAGGGTCATAGTCAGAACATCTCACCCACTTGCGAGCAGTGCTTCAACGTTTCCGCGAAGCAGGTCTGACTGAGAAGGCTCGAAAGTGTCAACTTGGCCGAGCAGAGGTTACTTACCTGGGTCACATAGTGGGGCAAGGCCACCGCAGACCTTCTGATGTCAAATAGCGGCAGTTAATAATTTTCCGCAGCCCCGGACAAAGACAGATGTGCGGTCGTTCCTAGGATTGGCAGGGTACTACCAGCATTACATTCCCTGTTATTCAGAGCTTGCCAGCCCGCTTACTGACGCTCTTAGAAAAACCGAACCTCAGATTCTGGAGTGGGATGAAAAGAAAGCGAGGGCATTCTTAGCGTTGAAAAATGCGCTCATGAGCCAACCTGTACTTCAAGCCCCCGACTACGCTAGACCCTTCGTGGTTCAGTGTGATGCAAGTGACCGCGGCATGGGCGTCGTATTGTGGCAGAGAAACGACGCAGGAGAGGAACATCCCGTGCTATATGCAAGCCGCAAACTAACTGTAAGAGAGGAAGCCTATAGCACTTCAGAGAAAGAATGCGCCTTTGTTGTATGGGCGGTTCAGAAGCTCGCATGCTATCTCGCGGGATCAGAGTTTATTATCGAGACAGACCACTGTCCTCTCACGTGGTTGCAAACGATGTCGCCTAAGAACGGCCAGCTACTTCGCTGGAGCTTGCTATTGCAACAATACTCTTTCGAAATTCGTTACAAGAGAGGCACATTGAATGGCAATGCTGACGGCTTAAGTCATTGTTTCTAGGTATCTTGATGGCGTCAAGTAATCTGGCTTGGGTATTTAGGTTCCATTTTTTTGTGTGGCAGGTTTACAATTGCTTTTTTTGTACTTGTGCTTTATCACGACACGTGTTTGTGAATTTGAGCAGCCTATTTCAGGTGGGGTTGTTGGAATTGTTGCTGCTATTGTAATGAAGAACAGGTCGTTTTGGATGAAGTAAAAGCCTGGTGGGTCTCAGGAAGAGAGTATGGGCGCTTGCCTGCTTGGCGGTTGTGTTTCTCGCGTGGTGGACACAGGTGCTATCTTTCGAGAAGGAATGTTGGCCAGCAGAGCGGGAGCCTTTCTCCCATTTTGGACGACGCTACCAGAGGCTCCAGATCACCGGGGGTGGCAGAAGAATGCAGCAGAGCCGCATCGAGGTGTCCACGGCTTCAGCACACCAGCATTGTCTTCATCGACCTCACCCCACAAAGGGGGATGACCTTTGTACGTCGAGGTCTCGGCCGGCCGCCGGGGAAGCTGTTACAAAGCAGTAACGAAGTCCTTGGGCCAGCTGCCCCCAAGCGTGCCTTCCCATCATCTCGGACATTCTTTTGTGGGGTGCAAGTTGTCACCTGCACCGGCTGTCTTTGTCTCGGCTGTGTACTTCGCCTGCGGGGCAGTGGCTACGGGCGGGCCCCTCTGGAATGTGCGGAAGGTCGGTTGTGTGCTACAGGAGCGACTGCCGTGAATTCCTCCTGCGTGGTCGCCTCCGAGTCCCCGCGCGTGTGCCTCGTGCGTCTGCCACGTGCGTGAAGGGGTACTCGTCTTGTGTTGTGCTCTCCATGAGTGGTTGGTTCCCCGAAGTGACATTCCGCCCCTATCTTCGGAACTGCACGGCGAGGCAGCAGGAGCAGCCCGCCAGAAGGAAACCGGAGAGAGTCATGAGAAGTGTCGTCGTTCGAAGGTTACTGTCCGAAATGTTGCAAATAAACGTCTTGTTAAGTTTTCCTCTACGCCGGTCCCTCTGCCTCAGCTTTCTGGGGTTCTGAACGTCCCCGTGGCCTGCAGAATGACGACCACCACCCAGCTCCACGCTACCTATACTGGGTCAGCTGCGGCCACCGACGCGGCTCGTAACACAGGCGAGCCTGCTTATAGGAAACCTGAGCGTGACGGGGCATCCATTCTCTGTATCTCGAAGTTCGCAGTAAATGAAACACAGCTTTAAAAAAGTTGCGAGTGAAAACACGAAAAGTCCATAATGCCCATGTTTCGAAGAGCAGAAGCGATAAGGGTGGTCTCTGAGTTTAAAATAGCAGCGTGCTCTTCGCCGAGGCCCATGGCATATACAAGTTAAAAGCATCCTTGTGGGCACTGGCTCCAAATTTCCATCGTCGTCATCATCCGGTTTCTCCTAAACCCTTTTGCCATGCACTTCATTCACAATGGCCTCATTCATGCACGGTTCCACAGTGTCGGCATCATCTTCGGCCGCCGCAATGAAATCGATGCGGCAGATGTCTTGCCCTCTCATGTCGGAATCGACGATGCACTGCCGCAAATCGCCACCGAAGTGGTCCTGTTTTAAAGCTTCATGCTCGGCATCGGGTCCGACATCGACAAAGTCGGCCTCGCGAAAACAGTGTCACACACATGTAGCCAGGTAACTCTAGCCATGAAGCCTTGACCATCTCCACAGCTGAATACAGGGACACCAGAAGCGGCAAGTTGGCTGCTGGGCGGTTCACAACTATGAGTAAATGTTCCTATGAGTAAAAGGCAAACTATGAGTAAAAGGCACCTATAATAAATGTTAAATGCACGGATTATGCCCAAGCCAGGTGGTTGCACTTTTGACATTTTGTTTAACGGCAGGAAAAAGCGCGGAAGGTCTCTCGTCGGTCATCCTAACCACACACGTGAACCGACAGTGAAGAAGACGCTCAGGCGCGACATAAAATTCTGGACACATGGAACTGCTCTGGGCCCATTTCTAGCCAGAAAAAGAAACCTCTGAGTTTGACCTAGCATCAGTGGCGTCGGGCAAAGGAGTTGCGATGAAGAGAGAAGATCAGATTTGCGAGAGACAGGCAAAGCAGTTGCGATAGAGTGAAAAGAGCGGAGCACACAGCAAGAAAGCGAGCTTGAAAACCAAAACACATGGGTGGAAGGAAGTCAGGTAGCTAGCTCGCAAGGTGCACAAAATGCTCAACTCGCACGTTGGAAAACTTGTGATAGTGGTCTGTGCGCAGAGGTCAAAGTATTGCATTGTGGCGCCGGCAGACTTGCGCGGCCCCACCAATTTCGATAATTCGCAATTCGTTTTGTATAACAGCTGTTTTTAGGTTTCCGCAGGTGTGCGTAGGGCATGCTGAGCTGAGAGCGAAGTGACTGAGAACAGGTCCTAAACACGGAACAAATCGCAAATTATCAAAGTCGGTGGGGTAACGCAAGCACATGCACTGGAAAAACACAACACCAATCCGGACAACACGCCCAATCGGGTACAGTTGGCGGCAGACTATATTGGCAGATGGTCCTGATCACTCTAGGGCGGTGACACCAACAACAGTTTAACAAGACTAGCGATCAAAAACTGAGGGAAGACCAGTCAGCTGACCCGACCGGTCTTAGGAAGATCGGCGGCAGTGTGAAAACATGGGATGTGGCATGCTCTGAGTAGCGGGGGTACGAAATACAGAGGGATGTATAACAAAAACAGTCGAGAAAAACAACTTTGGGCGATAGGTGGCGTTGTGTTCGCGAGAGTTGGCCACCACTATCGTCATCATCATCATGGGGTAACGCCGGCAGGGACCCCTGGCGGAAGCAAGCCTTGGTGGCGGGCGAGAGTTGAGTGAGTCTCTTCTGCGCGTGGTGGTTGTCGTGAACGGTTGTCTCTAGCGTGGGCCCTCGGCGCATAATACCGCGACCTGCGCGGTATTATGCGCCGAGGGGGTGTCAGCATCGAAAATTTTGCTATTTGCATAGCTGTAGTTTTTGGCTTTTTGTGAAATGTACTGGCTCCATACACTGGTTGTTGGTGCTTCGAGGAGTGTTCTACTCGGTAATATGTGTCGAGTTGCACACGAATCGAGTTGTTTGAAGGCAGTCATCACTATGCACAAGTGCTTACTGGAATTTTTATACTGGGCAGGTTTCTTCTCGTCCAGCAACACCTCAGGAGGAAAGTTGGCACAATCCACCAGCTCCTCGAGCTTATGCACCGGCTGAGCCATGTCCCTTCTACCTCAAGACGGGTGCCTGCCGCTTTGGTGACTGGCAAGTTCCCATTTCATCTTGTTCGCTAGCTATCAGGTGAGGACAGGGCTGCGCTTGAGGGAAGTGTGGCCTGGTGCTCATCTTTCTGAATGAAAAGATTCTGGGGCAAACATTGATTGAAACACAAGGGAAAGCAATTGTTATGCCTGCAGTACAAGAATGACTGCTGAAAAAAAATGACCAGTCATACACCATACCCAGATGCCATGAAATCTCAGTTCAACAAGTGCAACATCAAATTTTTCATATAAAAAATTTCATGCTGAATGCTAATACAGTAGACTCATGTTAAGCAAATGGGACCATGAAATTATGTTCCAGTTGGCAGGAGTTCTGTTTATAGAGAAACAAACAGGGGTGTGGAATTCTAGTACGAAATTTTAGTGGCATTCGTTCTATTTAAGAAGTGTGGAGATAGGTTTGCAAGAAGCTCACCTCATGAGCGCTACATGCAATGAATGTGACCTATGCCACGGCCACAGTGCACAAGGACAGTACAGCCGGGTTCGTCGAATCTACCACACTGTGCAGAAAAGACACTCAAGGCGGGTTGTTCATAAACATAGATTTATTAACCTAAGATGCAGCACAGCACAACGATGACGGGATTGCGGGCCATATGAGAAAACTCCACAGATCACTTCAGTGCGCCTACCTCTGGCATTATGGCTACCACACAAGAGGTAACCGTGCACATGAATGGAGAAGCCTTCAAAAACAGCATGTAATACTTGTAGTTGTGCGACATGCTTGCATGGCAAGCAAGCGCCAGAGGGGCTGTCACTGGCGGCCAATTGGGATGGGCAGGGCTCAGTGACATAGCTAGCGTGCTGAGAAACGACATGCTCGGCGTCGAGGAGTGTGCAGCATTGCTTGCGCCATAAACAGTCAAGCAGCTGTGTGCATGGCCTCTATGTTGCCGTTCTCAGCGCTTGAGATGTGAAGGGACAGCACAATACGTCAGCTAGGGAACTAGGTGCCAGAGTGGAGGGCACACTTGATTCCCACAGCAGCAGAGTCTCAATGCAGAATTATTTTGCTAGTGCATGCTTCATAGTACATCTTCCAGCCACTTCAAGAGAAACAAAGCAAGGGGAAGAACAAGTGAGTGCAATCGTGCTCGTTTGTTCTTCTTGTTGTTTTTTTTTTGGTCTTGTGCAAAGTGGCTAGAAGAATACGTTCCAACCAGGCCAGCTAGCAGTTTTGCTTCACTTCCTCGTACCGCACTTTTCATAATAACAATAGTTATATCTATATCTGCGTCATTTCAACAATGCTTTAGTACTACACTTGTATGCTGTAGTGCAGGAATTCTTAGATATCAGTGAATTTTTAAAGGATGACATGGGACACAGTGCAGTGATTGAATGCCCGGCAACTTTATCCACGAAAATACGTGAGACTGTGTGAGATAAATAAAAAAACCGGAAGGAGACAAAATATACATTCCTAAAGTGACAATGCTGTAGGTTCTAGGAGTGTATATGAGAACACTAGAATCTTGCTCAGCCACAAACTCATGATGTTGCTTGTGGCTAGGAATATTGGCGACTTGCACATTATATTCATGCAGGACACATGCCAATGCTTCGCTGATGCCGGGAATGGAGGCACAACGCTGGCTGGTAGAATCACGCGGCTCAACTTGTCAGCGTCAAGGACAAACTAAAAAAAGGAAAAGTTTCCTGGTGTTGTTTATAAGATTCCTTGCGCTGACTGCAATGTCAGAAAAGCGGAGATTTCGAGTGACGTCTGAAAGAGCACATAAATGACGTGAAAAATAAAAAAGTTGTTCCCAGGGCTCTCACAGAGCATGTAGAAAAAATTCATCACTGCTTGGACTGGGATCGTGCATCAGTTATCTCCCGGGAAAAGAACTGGACAAAATAGCACAATCTGGAATTTTCGACAATCCAGACAAGCGGGAACACGCTTAACCACAATGCCGGCAATATACCTCTTGCGTATGCAAGATGCCTCAAGCGATTATTTTAGCAGATTTAAGCTGGAAGCTTTGGCCTCTCAGCTTGGTGAACAAGGCTTTTGTGTGGAGGCAGGAACGTCTTTTTAATATATTTTTGACACCCTCTTGAATGTCGTCCTGTCTTTTTCTTTCTAACTGCCAAAGGTGTACATGATAGAGGAAATGGCAAGGCAGGCTGACCAGGTCTTAGAAGCTCAAGGGTTGAAGAATTTAAAGAAAGGGGGCAGCAGCAACCCTGAGGAAGGAGAGTGCACAAGTAAGGCTCCAAGGAATAAGGCAAGGGCACAGCAGCAATGCTTCCTGTGTAATCGGCTAGGACATGTAGCGATGAACGGGCAGTAGTTGACGGGAACCACTATTGATCTGACAGTTATGTCAAAAAAAGGGGGCACAAAGCTAGCGAGTGCAGAGCAGACCTCAAGAGAATAGTGCATGTACAATGAGATGTGAAGAGAAAGTAGATGTGGTTAGCTCAGTGAGGGATATGTCGATGAGTGCTCTAAGTAGATGGAAAAGTGAAAGGCACACAAGTGGCTATGTTGAGACTTTGGTGCCAATACGGTTTTAGTTAGGGCGAGTCTTGTGAATGAGCGAGAGTTCACGGGTAGAAGCGGCACAGTAATCTTTGCAGATAGTTCAAAGATGAGATTACCAGAAGCCAAGATAAGGCTAGATACACACTATTTTGTAGGAGTGATCACTGTCAAGTGTATGAAAGATCCAATAGTATACGATGTCATTTTAGCAAATAGGCCGGGTGTGTAAGGGGTTGATGACCCAATGTGGAGTGGTTTATATGCCAAGCAAGGAGAGTAGGGCGGAAGGTAAGGCAAATAAAAGCCCATCTAACTCAAAAGGAGTCATTAGTGGGAGTAGTCAAGGGCAAACCGTTAGTGAATTGCCAATGCTTGAGCATGTGAGTCTGAGGAGCTCGCAAAAGAGCAGAGGTAGGATAAAACCCTGAGGTAGGCAATAACCAAGATTGGGTGTGACCAAGCAAGGATTTGTTATTTCGGAAGCTCTTGAAAAATGGAACTGTTAGGCAACTGTTGGTACCAGGATGTTATAGGCAGGCAATTTTAGAACATTGTTAAGCAAATTGAGTTAAAGATCCAAAGAACCTATTTAAGGAAGTGACCAAAGGTGTTACGGCCTGGAGTGCACAAAGAGATGAAGCACTTCGTGTAAAGAAACCAGGAAAGTTATCATTAAAGCAATGTTCTAACACGGGAAAGTGTTATAAGATTGATAATTATAGAGTTATTGACAATGAGCACGTGGATTGGAGAAGAGTGAGTAGGCGTCTATGAAAGGTTAGTGGGGTGAATGGTGCAATGGTGTCACAAGTGAAAGTGTGTGAAGACAAAAAGTAATTTGCCAGCCTCCCTCACGAGTGTTTGCAAGTGTTGTCACCAGCCGAAGAACACAAGGCTGCATCCCCCACGAAGAGATGAGCAGTTCTTTTTTTAGAAAAAATTCTTAAAGAGAGGGCCAATGTCGTGTGTGAAGGGGTGCGTGCCAAATGAGGAAATGAGGCAATGGTGCGCGAGGCCCCAACGGTGCGCACCACGTTCACTTATGGGATTGGTTGGAGGAAAGCCCGTGGCACCCAGCCTAGGTTCTGGTGGAAAACGTCTAGAAGATGAAGGGCACTTTGCTGCGGAGCTCCGATATGAGAAGATCAGGGAAGTTAGCATCGCTGCAGTGACAGAAGCAGTAGCCACCTGGTTCTGGAGACTGTTGCGTGAGAGGCTTCGGGAGTGGTTGCTGACCTTGGGAGACTCACCGCACCTCTTCACAGCAATTCTCGATGTGCCAACAGCTTTTCCACTTCGTGCCAGGATGGTAGCGGCCCACACCACAGTCATTGGAGTGTCCTGTCATCACTTGGGTTCGATAGCATGGAATGGCGGCCAATAATGAGTTAGGCTTAACCTCGATAGGCTGGAGACGATTGGTACACCAGCAATGAGGACAAATGCCTAGTTGGGTGGAAGTAATCAATGGCAACTTTAGGAACTTTTGGAGGACGTTGATGATGAACACAGCGAGCCTTCGATATGGCTAAGGCACGGAGTCGACGTTGGGAACATTGAAAACATTTGGTTACCGAAATGCCATATTAACGATCTTCTGGCTAGGGCTGGAAACAAACTTCAACTGGATTGCAGTTGATTCTTGTTTGATTATGTATTGTTTTATTATGGAGTTTGTTTTATAGTGTTCACAAGTGTTTATTTTCCCTCCCCACTTTTTGTTTGATAAAGTGTGTTTGTATTGCCAGCACGGTGGCCCATTTCTTTAAATTTGATCTATTGCAAACACTCTCGAGGTAAACCTGCCACTATCACAGGGAAGGGTTAACGGTAATAAGGTGGCAAAACAGCAGAAGTGTTTTGGCTTTCCCATTGCTTGCTTATGATTGTGATAGTGCAGAGTTTTGGCATGTTTTGAAGGTCATCCGACTATCGTATTTGCTCATGTATGACCCACCCCTGCCTATAATTGGTACTCCTCCCATACAAACCACAGGAGACAGACAAAAAAATTTATATATTTGTGTACTGATGTAAAGTCACCTTCCTTGCATTACCTTGAAGCAGTTCATAAAGTCGCCTTCTTTGCATTACTTCAAGCAGTGCCGTGAAGCCAATTTATTTACCAAAAATCACGTAAAATTTTCTGTACATATTTTGCTTTCTTTGCCTGAGAAAATATGTTTGCTTAGTATGTGACCAAATATGTCTGAGTTAGCGAGAGTTTAATGCTAAAAATAATGCTTGCAAGTTGCGGGACCAAAAGACAAGTCCAAAATTTTCTGTTCTGTTGATGAAATTTCGCTGCAGTGAAATTCTTTGATAGTGACCTTTTTCGAGCATTTCGACAATTTTATTATGGCAGCATTCAGCTGTATAGGCGTTACACAAAATCGCTCTCATCTGTTCGAGGCCTGATACTGATTAGGTGCCATGTTGGAGGCTTTTGTCTGAATCTTATTGCTGTCACTGCTATAACTTCTTGCTTTCATCTTTCCTGAAAGTACCGTACTTAC